CACTAAATAATATATTTTTTTGTATGTGAAAGACTTATAATATTAACTGAAAGACAGCCAAATTTTGTGCAGACATACACACTATATTGAAAGTTAGAAGTATTAAATATATAAAGACTTTAAACAAGTACAAAGAGGTCACGTGGTCGGTCAAATTGACCAAGCCCGTGTTGAGAGAGTTAAAAGGAGAAAAGTTTCAACAAAAGTAGAGCTTTAATACTTGACATTGTAAGAAAATTATAATAGAAAAGCTTAGTTTGAAATTAATTATCAATTGTATTTATTTTTTTCTAAGGATCAAATTAGTTCTCTTTTCGATTTTCTTGCACACTGCACACTCTGAACTTTGTTTTATGAACACTGTTCACATGTCACATAGTAATAAAAAATTAACCAAGTCTCACAAAAATAAAGCGTAAAATACAGTCCGCACCTGCACATATTCGTGTTAGAGCCTGTATGACCATCCACTTGTGCTCAAAACTGCTGCTTGGAGTTTCAAGGATATTCAGAAATATTTCTTTGAAAAATACCTGGTACAAAAAAACTTCAGTCATCCTTTCTTATTAAAGAAAACTTAACACTTTTTTGACAGTTCAAAGTGAGTGACTAATAAATAGATATTAGTATAGTAAGAATTTTAAAATTTAACATTTTCTTATGCTGAAAATGTATTTCTGATAGGTACTTACCTCCACTAACACAACACTATCTTGATCTTTTTTCTGCTCTCTAAGCATTGCTAAAGGATTTTTGCACTCAGCACACCAGCTTATAGACCCCATCAATTTCATGCCATTTTTGAACATGTAAATATCATGTGACTAGCTAAATATAGTTGAAGCATACAAGCCTTTGTTAAACAATCAGGTGAGGATTTGCAGAAGATGAGGAATGGAAGGGTGGGAAGAATGGAAGCCACGTTGAAAAGACTAAAGGCAAAGGTAGACCATCACCTTAACTAAATGGACATGGAAGAAGGTCTGATGGATCAGGAAAGGAAAGGTGCAACACATAGTTAGTCAGTCAGTCCCTGGACTTAAACAATAAACCTGACAAAAGGCATGCATAAAAATGGTGTGATGATGATGTCTGGATGAACAATGTCTGACTGAGGTTGAGGAGTAGAGACCCAGACAGAAGTAAGGGTAGGAGAGGTTGTACAAGTAAAGGACAGAACAGAGGGAAACAAGGTTGTACCAGCTAATACGAAGCCACAAGTAAGACTAGATGCTGAATGATTTGGATCAGGAATAGAACTCTGGAGAGGAGCTAGTGGGTGTGGAACGGGAAACCAAAAGGAAAGAGGTTTAGTGTTCCAGTGGGTGGTGAAAGCATTGATGTTCTCAGCTGAGAATATACCCACCAATAAACCTGTAAATCGAGGGACCACTCCAAATGGAGAATCTTGTTGGGTCGAGATAAACAATCGACAACCAGATTCAAGGTTCCAGGAATATGGCAAGCTAACACCACCATGTGGTGACTGTGTGCCCAAAAAAAGGAGATCCAGGGTATGGAAGCACAGAGACCTGGATTTGGTACCTCCTTACTTGTTAATATAAGTAACACTGGAATTGTCAGATTGTACCAAATTGTAGGGCCCTAAACTGGAACACTCAACTTCTAGCTATAAATGATTATTGACAATGTCGATACTGTGGGGAGAAAAATTAGATTCAAGCATCAAGAACATAGGAAATGTAGCCAAAGCATAGCTCAGCACGAAAAAACAACATGTCAGCAATGTAGCAATGCAAAACAATTAAGTCTTACCCTGACAAAAATTAGGATTATAAAGCACATATTGAACAATAACAAAAAAAGGTTTTCCAGATAGAACACTGAATTAAATGTAACTAGCAGGAGTGATATGTAAACTACAAACTATCTAAACATACCTAGTTCACAAAGTACTCATTAATATCAACTGACAAAACATCAAAATTTCCCTAGTCTACAAAGTATGTAATAATAACAACATGTAAATGGACTAAAATTACCTAGAAAACAAAGTAATAATCAATATCTAACTGACAATAAATGTAAGTTAACTTAGATGACAAAGGACACATAAATATCTAACTTACCAAAGTCTGAGCACTGATGACATGAAATACTTAATTCTCCCGTGTGTGAAGAAGGAGAAAGCCATACAAAGAGCATCTGAGCCGTGCCTAGCATGGGTAATGCAACCTGCGAAGTGTACAAGTCGAAAAACTTACCACGGATCCAGTGAGAGATCTGGAAGCAATAGAAAGAAAGGAGGAGAAGAACAAACCTTCACCAAAGTGAATGAAGTAGACTCACAACAACAGGAGTAGGAAAAAGAAAACTAGCAAAATCGTTCTTGTCTTGAACATACAGAAAAGACTGAATATGCATCAACCATTGACTTGAGTAACCAGCTGTGAAAAAAAGGGGTGTGGATAGTGAAATCTCCTGAATTTGTGTAACGTGTGACAGAAGGTGCCTGGTAAAAGAGAGTCCTTGATTTTATTCTTCATTAACAACACTCTCAGGTTGAAAAGGAGCAGAAATCACCAGCCAAATATACAAATCTAGCTCCCTGTGAATAAAGGCCTGTACCTCCTCTGCAGATAAAGTTGAATCTAATTGTTGGGAAGTTGTATCAGTAGCATTGTCGAGTGTAATGGGAACTGCCATAGTAGACACATTCAATCATAAATTCATATGAAATTTTAGTATAATTCAATAACAAGAAACAAATGCAAAAAAATATTGTTGAAACAATTGAATGCAAACACAGTAAGAGTAAACTGTTGAAAAAAAACTGAAATGACAAATAAGCACAATCATAAACAGTAGCCACATGCAAAAAACACGCGTCTAAACAAAGATGTGAAAAATCAAGAAAGTGAAGATTGAGTGGGAATAGCAAAGGGGCTATTTGCACCAATATAGATGGGACAATGCTATTGGTGGAGAGCTGTCACATGATATTTACATTTTCAAAAATGGTGCAAAATTGATGGGTATATGGACTTGTGTGCTGAGCACAAAACTTTTTAGCAGTAGTTAGAAGGCTGAAAAAAGATTGGAACATATATATTAAATATAAAAACAATACACATTTTACGTCAAAATATGATGATGGTATATTCTTTGAAAACCTAAGTACTTGTTGAAACTTCTTCATCTTTCTGTTGATATTTACAAACACAGGACATTTAATAGCATGATATCTTATAAATATGACAATGTATTGATTTGTATTTACATGTTTTGTGTTAACAAATACAATATGTAGATATATAATTTTATATAAAAACATAATTCAAAACTAAAAAACAACTACTTATAAAACAAAGGTTCTTTTTTGCCCTTTTCAATGCTAATAAGAAAGAAAGCATATGAGTTTATAATCAGAAAATCAACAGATATCCATCTAATAATAATTCTATAAATATAACTTTAAGTTTTAGTTTGATAAAAAAATTTCCATTTACCTCTATCTGCATTTTTAGGTGAGTTTTAAAATTCTGCAAGAGAGCCAAAAATATAGCCAAAGAAAGCTCAAACACCTCAGCTACTGATGATACACCATTCTTAGACAAGGCAACACAGAGATACTGCTTAATGGCTGTGATAAACATTTCATTTGAGCGAAACACTGGGCCAGCATTTTGTAAGATAGAAAGCAGCAGTTGCAAAGACAGAATCTTTGATCGCAATTCATGAGATCTGTTAATGAACAAAATAATTTAATTATTTTAATATTATTTTTATCACCAAGATAAGGAATTTGAGAACTGGTATATCTAGTAAATAACATAGCCAATAAAATCTTCAATATTTCAAATAAGTTTTAAATACTCGTTTTAAATGTTAAATGTGCCAAATTTACTTAAATTGAAAAGTATGAGAACTTTCAGCAAGGACAAATAAACCAACAATGTCTGAAGCACAGGAATATTATCTTTAGCACTGAAGAAACTGTTCAAATATACTTTATGTTTAAATACAAATTAAATGATACTTGTGGAAATACAGGTTGTAAAATCTGCTTCAGGGTTTTCTCAGTTGAAAACTATGAACATCATTCAGGTAAATCTTCTGTAACACAAGCCTTCATACAAGTGAATCTAAAAGCTCTCTACTACCTTTTCACAAAGAAGATTAACCATGAAAAACATCTCTATTTTCACTGTGTTTTGAACTATCATGATACAGAAATTCTAAAAAACTGATAATATTTTGGATATGATTAGAAACACATAAGGATGGAAAACAATGTGCAAGATAATACTGAACTTAGGATGTCAGTTTCTGGTCAAATTGCACAATCCTCAAAATTAGTTGTATCACTGAACAACTTGTACGATTATATACCTTTCATTTTCTCTTATTTAAACTATATAGATTTTTGTGAATATTTAAAAATAAATCAGTCATAAAGGAAATATTTTATAGATTTAAGTATAATTTTTGACAAACACAAACAGTAAGAGAAAACTATCTTCAAGTTCAGTGTTATTTAATGTGAACTTACCTCACATTTTAAGAAATTAATTTTGTTAATGGATAGTTTATTACAATAATTGTGAGGCTAAATTATGTTTTGTTCTTTCACTTCAAGAATAATACTAACAAAATGGTCTATTAATGCAACTCTACAAAAAACATATTTTAAAACTGAAAGTCACATCCAATTATTGAAAATTGTATCACTCAAATATCTACAAGTAATCATTTTAGAAAATTATTTTCTGGCAAACTAAACTATAAACATTTCTTAGAATTATCAAACAGAATTACAATACAAATGCTTATGATTTTCCTCTTTTTTTTTATCACTGTTTCCTGTATTAAGTTGTTTGTGAATCGCCAAAAAATATTTATTTGTTTTGGATAATTCAATTTTCTAAGTTTTAAGTGCAAAATTTTATCCACCTACCAATTTCTTTCGTTTGCTTTATCCTTTTGAAGATGAGTGTGTGTCTCTTGTTCAACCACTGAATAATCTCATTTCTTAATTTTTTACTTTGACAAATAAATTTTAGAATCGTAATACTACTAATATAATATTTAATTAATTAATCTCTAGCACCTTTTTTGCAGCTGCAACTCTTTGACATTAAATTTAAAATTGAGAATCCAAATATATGCTCAAAAATGGGAGGATGTTGGTTATAATAAAAATATGTTTAATAGATGTTATGGAAAAGGAGACCCATTATTACTAAACTAGAGGAAACAGGAAATATTTGCAAAACCATCAGAATATATAAAAGACAAATAAAAGTAATTATAAAATTATAAATGAACCAGAACAGATCTAACTGAAAGAAATGAAATGAATTGTTAAGTGAAAGAATTCATTTCTTGATTAACAAGGTTTCTTCTATTAAAATTTCCATGTCAGTAGTTAAAATGGTGAAATTTGGTAAATAGATCTTATCTTTCATGTTTTTGTTGTGTGGGTATATCAAAAAAGGGTAGTAGTTGCCAAGTTTGTTATATATTTCAACTGATAATCTATGTGTTCATAATCTTGAACTTTAAAATGATGCCAAAGTAGAAGGACATACAGTCTCCATACTGTTATAAATAAACAAGCTATAAACAATAAAAGGTCAAGAGATGATCCTTGTTGCAAAAGAAATACTTCAGGTATAAGGAAGGTTTAAATATCAATTTAAACAAGTTAAAAGTAGAACTGGTTAATAATTCCGTTAATCTGCATTCTGATGGTGAAGTTCTGTTTGCCAAGGTATGGTATACAGCAATATTTTAGACATTTAAGTACGGTAGGTATTTGTGGTTTGTGTATAAGAAATATGTGAATGACTTTCTGAAGGTCAGTGTTTAAGGATGCCAAAGCTATTATATTTTAGGCTATCAAGTAGAAAGGTAATTTCTAAATGAATCATCAGAAATGTTCAGTAAATGTTGTATGTTCTGTTAACTAAGCAAAGAATGAAGTTACATTGATAAGGAAATGTAATAAAAACTAACAAACTGGGCAAAAAGTCTGGTAAATGGAATGTCATTACCAATTAAAACAGGTAACAAATGTAACTAGCCATACCCTTCCTCAATATGCTAACACAATAAAAACATGAAATATAAGATCCATTTACTTAATTTCACCATTTTAACTGTTCCCAAACCCCAAATTAAACTTTTAATAAAAAGAAACCTGTGCATCAAAGAACATCTTCCTACAGTTAACAATTGACAGCCCTCATTTCAATCAAATCTGTTCTCCTTCTCTTGCAATATTTGTTTTTTACATAATCTGATGGTTTTGTAAATATTACCTGTGTTATATACATTATGGATGATAGAATCTTTGCTATTACAAAACATCTATTGAACATTTTTTTTTTATCATTGCCATTAACTACTCATTTTTGATGAAACTGATGTGTTTGATCCTATAATCTATTCAAAATAAATGCTTTAAGTAGCTGCAGGACTGATCAGAGTTTTATAAACAAGCTATTAGATTATTATATCACTAAACAAGTAACATACTTTGGATCAGGATGACCCTCAGGAAGTGGCTTCATGCTCAGTTTACAAAGAGAGCGGAATACAAGAAAGGCATCTTTTTGTAATACATGTGAGAACTTAGCCTGGACGGGTTCAGCAGAGGATTCAGCAGTCTCTAGACTGTCCTGAGAGGGAACCCTTGGCAAGAATGGTGGCGAGGAATTGTCTTCTGTTGTAAAGACATTTGGAGCAGGACTCTCAGGAAGTGACTTTGAGATGTCAGTATCTTGAAAAGATAAACAATGAGATCAGTAAATGTTCTTCGAAAACATAAAACTTGAAAGTTATACTCACCTGATAATTCACACTACTTTCATCATACATCAAGCAATACAATCAGTTTAAAGACCAAATGATCATATTAGATTAATAAAAATTGAAATGCTTCTATTTCTATGCTATAAAATTATTTTTTATTCCTGAAAATCTCTTGAGAAGCATTTGTTAAAAAGGTTTTGTTATTTGTTAGTTTGAATAGCCATTGCCCTCACTTTGGGACAACAAACTTAAACATCAAGATACCACTCATACTCTTCTACTTGGGAATGAGTCCTTTTTAAATGAATAATTACTAAAAATTAAAACTGAAATTTGGCATTTTTACGCCAGCAAACATGAGAAGCAGCAATTTTCTTGAGTTAAAAAATACTGTTTAAATCTATAGGTACCTGTTTAAGATTAACTATGACATGGTTCCAAACTCGAATATCTGAATATTTTACTACTACAAGTGGTACAATACCAGTTATCTATCATTACAAAACATTAATAGTAAACCTTTTTAAGTCTCAACACAGCCAAGAATTAAAAAAAGAGCTGTATATTAAAGTTTCTATAAAATACAGTGTCAAAGTACTTCTGAACTAAAACCAACATCCTAAGATAAGTCTGTTTATTATATCAGTTCTGATTACCTTCTCTATCATATACATTGATAATAAAGTAGTTTAATTAAATTTTGAATGTAACTCTAAAAAGTTTTGATATGCCTTTGAGGAATTAAAAGAAACCATTGTTAGTGTTTGAACATGATGAATAAACTTGGCACCAAAACATAGTTAATAAATCAAATTTGAATACGTTTTAAGTTCTTAATTCTATAAGGAAATATTTTTTTTAAATCCTCAGTCACCTCTAATATGAGAATTGTGACATTTGTTGACCAGGTCTTCCCTCTTCTCAATTTATTTACAACCCCTCTGAGAAGTACAGAATTGAACACAAATTACTCATTATAATATAGATAAATCATAATTTTATAATCTTCAATCTAATTTGTTTATGAAGCCATAAACTAGAAAATCAGACCACTTGCCACACCCACCTGTCACATCCTCTCTTTCACAAATTGCTAATAGTTCTCTCCAATATTTTATAATATATTATTTATAACCAATAGAAAGCTAAAGTTTTAATCTATCAAATGACATATTATGTTGTTTTCTGTACAGAATATTGTCTGGTATTCAAATCAATAAGCTTAGCTAAATTTTTAAAGGCTCTTAATCACATAATTAGGAAGCCAAATAAATTATGGTAGTTATAGAACATTATTTGCTTTGTGCATGTTATTATTCTGTATTCTTAGGTACATTATTTAGTGTACTAGTACCATTAGTATAAAAAATGTAGGCTTAACTGTTATCAACAGTTGACAGAAAAAAAAAGAAATAGTTAAGTACCATATTTCTTGTTTTTCGTGTATGTCACTAAAATGTAAAAATTAAAAAATCATTACATTAGATAAGACAATGATTATTAATAATGGTTATTCATGAGGTATGCTTGCAAGCAGATAGTGCAATAAGGTAACTTGAGCTATATGTTCTCTGAGTGATTTACAACTTGTGTGGCAGGACTATTAGTTAAACATAGGTCAAAAGGCAATAAAAATGAATTTTATATATAAACAGATTTATACTATCATAAGATTTAAACTATTTAGGATAAACAATTGTGGTTTCCTATTATAATATGCAGTCATTCTAGAAAGAAAAAAATGGTAACTTAGATTATTTTTTTATGGTGATTACGAGGTTGATTAAATTGACAGGTTATGTATAGAGTTAGGGTAAAATATAGTTTTAATGAGAAAAAGTTTGATATTTATTTAGAAGGTTTAAAGATTACGCAAATGAAAGTTTACAATTCTCAGGTGAAGAAAAGTATTTTAATCATAACATGAAAACCACTTTGCACTCAAAGCAGTCAACACTCTGACTCCATACATTCATGTATACATTTTTAGTAAAAGTTCATTTTTTGTGTACAAGACTGTAATGTGTACTGAAAGCTGGCCAGATTTTATGAACACAAGACATATTACAAGTTATAGTATGGAAACTCTTATGGTCACAAGGTTGATGTAATCCACTGAGCCCATAGAAAGAGGGTTAAGTATATGGTACTAATATTATAGCATGTTCATTATAAATTAACATCATCAAAATGTATTTTGCTTTCTTAATCTTTAAAGTCATATCACACTTCCACTGATGAGCTTTTAAGATATCATTCAGCTATAATAATAATATTTTAACAGTGATATTAACTCTCTCACTACCATCTCACCCAATTCGACTGAGTTCATGATGCCAAAGTGACCATCACAGTTTAAATATTATAGCTTTTAGTATGCAAGCAATTTTCATGTTAATATTAAAATACTTTTATTAATCAGAAAATTATCAAATTTCATTTGCATAATCTCTAAAACCTTCTAAATAAATATCAAACGTTTTTTTAAGTAAAACTTTATATTTTGTATGTTATTTTCTCTATCCTAACTCTTCATGCATTCAGACAACTTGACAGGCTTTGTAACTACCATAAAAAAAATCAATTTAAATTACCCTCTTCTTCTTTCTAGAATTACTGTAAATTGAAACAGGAAACTACAGTTGTTAATCCTAAATAGCTTAAAGCTCATAACATTATACATCTGTTTCTACTTAAACGTTATTGTTTTACTGCCCTTTGAACTGTGCATACCTAATAATGCATGACTAGCTCACAAGCATACTTTTTATTAGTATTATTATTTTTCATTATCCTACCTAGTCTAACCTAAAAAGTTTTTAATTCTTATATTAGTTACTTTTATAATAATAATAATAAAGAATACACATGAAAACCAAGAAATATATTACTTACCTGGGTCTTCTTTTTTTGTTGTCAACTGTTGATGAAACTTAAGCTTACTTTTTTTTATATTAATGGTAATAACTACACTAAATAATTTTATATTTGATTAAATACCTCACCTAAAAACACAGAATAATATTATGCAAAAAGCAAACAATCTACTATACAAAAACCAAAAGACATCAGTCTGTCCATT